CTCAGCCTCCTTCGACTTCTCGTCCATCGTGCACCGTTCCTCTTGTTTCTCTTCTTTGACCTGGGCTAACTCCAAGATCGCATCCTGACGATGACCACCTTCGACAGCAATCATCTGGTCCTTCATCGACACGTCGGACTCATACTGTTTGACGATCTCTTCTTTTTCGCGAAGCAAGCAATCTGCTCTCTTCGATTCCTGTTCCGCAAATACTGTAACGTCATTCAGCCTCGCCATCAGCTGTTCCCTGGAGTCCTCCAAAGAGTACGTCTCGGGGCGCTTGACGAGTGCATGCTCCAACTGTGATTTCAGACTTTGGACCATCTCCTCCTCGTTGAACTTCTCGATAGATGTAGAAGATTCTATGCCTCTGATCTGTTGCTGATAAACTGATATCTGTTGTGAAGCCTCACGGTGTATCTGATTTGCACGTATAGCTGATTCCTGCGCGGCCGACTTCTCGCTTGCCATGTAGGATTTCATCAATGCAATCTCCCGCTTCTGCTCCATGATAGTTCCTTCAGCTTGCCTCATCTGTTGCATTATAATATTCGACTCCATGTCTTTCTTCTCCCCGTACTGAAATGCGTTCATATCCACCTTGCGCATCTGTTGGGCTTCTTCCTCAAACTTGCGCCATGCCTCAGCCATGTGGTGTTGGTGGTGACTCACTAGATGTCCCGACTGCTTGCTGGCAATCTCGCATCGTCTTTCCAGCTCCTGGATCCGGATGGTGCTTCCATAGTCTTCTTGGTTAAGATTCGCCATTGCTGCCGACATTTCATCAAGTGTCTTCTGATATTCCCCGATCTCCACCTCCATCTTATTCTTCTCTTTGATCACGGCGCGAAAATCTGCACTGGTGGGTGATTTTGACCTCCCACCCTTCGATGTCGATCTCACGCCCTTCTGCGACGTCCGTGGTGTCGCAGGCGAAGATGATGATCTTCTCGGTGGGGATTCTCTTTTCTTCGACTCCTGATGAACATCGATCTGCTTCCATGATCTTGTGGGAGTAGATATGTCGCTGAATAGCGCGGAACCTCCGCTCCCAGGTTCATCCTGTGAATCTGCAACCATATCCATCACCGCAGGAAGAGCCATCAATCCATTGGATCCCTCTGAGCTGCTGTTCCCAAAAGTTGCAGTACTTGGGCTCGCCGAAGACGCCATTGTACTGTGTAGGTTATCGTTCCTTTATTGTCCCTGTACCCGCAATAAACCAGCTGTCTCCCAGTCCAGTGTAGAGCTTGTAGTTACGGCTGATAACCTGTCAAGAGACGGCAAGGTGACGTCCCGTGGGACGCTATGCACCGAACCCTCAAGCTGTAATACCAACCACGTAGAAAGGTGTATACGGACGATGCCGTTATAGCCGAACCCGTGTAAACGTTGTAAGGGAGAAGGAATGATAGTTACAACAGTAGTCCTGACAAATGCAGCGCAAGCGAAGTGTTTTCGCTCTCAATGCCGATCACGTATGTATGCAGTCACACATCAGATCTTGAACCTCAATTGTGTCTTGAGCCAAATGGCGATCAATGGAACTTGGGAAGCAACACCAACAAGGACCTCAGAACAGCTACCCAATTTCGGCACGGGGCCTAGAGGGTTTTAACATATTGGAGCGCTTCCAGTAGTGAAGCGCGGGTTCGAAGAAGGCATGACGTCCCCGGAGTAGTTGTAGAAATTTGCGACTGCGTGAGTGTTCACGTCGTAGAACGTCCTGATCAGTCGCACCAACGTAGTAAGGCGTGTGCCATGGAGAAAGTCGGATGTAGACGCACGGTTGTTGGTGATGACCTGGATCGTGAATGAAGTCATAGAGGTCTGGAAACCGTGTCCGCAATGAGCGAAGATGTCTCGTGTCTGCAAAAGTGGAGTGCATAATTTCACACAAGAGAGATGCCTTGTAGAAGTGAAGAACTTCAAAGAACGGTGGGAAGTAGCCGTGATCTTGAGAAATGAGACGTTGCAAGAAACTGATCAATAAATAGGCGGTGCACCGACATCTGTGAAGCTCATACCTGTTGGCCACAGTGTGTTGAGAATGCGACATAGCGTGATTCGGAATCTGAAGGGCAATCCGGACCACAACTAATACCTCCAGAATGAGGCCCAACCACGGTAGTTGCGTGATTGATTCGTACTCATCGGCTGGTATCGACGGTGGTGGTAGTCCAGGGAAGCAGTATTGCCAGCACGTAGAGAACATGGTCAACGAGTGTAGAAAGTTGTCCAGAGACTGCCATTGTGCAACATCATCATAGATTCCACAGCGGCGAAGCTCAGCCAACATGGTGAACATGCAACCAATGAAATCTACCGTGAGGCGGCGACATGAATACAAGCTGCACAGAATATCACGCACAAGACAATGCAAGCACAGTCAAGCACAAGATCAAACTAATGCAAAGCAAGAAGATGACGGACGAGTTTTAAACCTTGACTCATCCGTGACACGGCTGCCGCTCCGGGCTCATAAGTGAACGAAGTTCGTCAAGGTGCCTGCTCATCCGCTGAGTAAGCGAGCGGTCACGATGAGGTGACTCAGCGCCTTCTCAGTGAGCTTGGTGAGATAGCCGGGCTCCAGTCCCCACGAAGCCGCCATCGCCCCGAGAGTGGGTGCGTCGCCTTTTGGCATGCGTTGACGCGCCTGAAGGAGTTGCGTCGCCATGGAATCCAATGACTTGTTGCCGTTGAGCCGGGACGGGTGATTGGCCCACTTGACCAGTGACGTCAAAGTTGTGGTTGTGGGCGATTGCTTGAGATACAAGCGTGGCTGGTCACTGGTCCATGTGTAGTACTTGACAACTTCTTCCGGCGTGCTGTGCATGGTGAGCAATTGTGAGGCCGCCGGCTTGGACGGTGGTGAAGAAACTCCGTGAAGAGACTGAATGATCCGGGGCTGCACCGCGCTATCAAACGACTTGCCATCAAGGGCCGCTGCGCTGGCCGTAGGGAGGGAGCTGGCAGGCGACGAGGATTGTGTGTGGTTGACCGGTGGTGGTGTAACCAACTCTGCATCATCTTTCTGGCTTGCCACCGTGGGGGAAGCCGAAGCGCGCAGCGATGCTGAATACTGAGCCTGGAGCAGTTCATGAGCACGATTTAGATCATTGTACTTCTTGACCATGTCATCTGTCTGGGTGGGAGGCGTGAGAGATGCGTGGTGTTGTTGAAGAAATTGAAGTACCAAGTTGGCCAAATGGTCATGAACCTTGATCCGCTGATTGAAGTCATCGAGGTTGAGTCCCAGCGAATTGGCAAGGTCCTTTTCCAGGGTGAGCAGGTTGATCGACTGTGATCGTCGTAGTAGTTTGGAACAGGTACTCCAAAGCAAGGCCTCAGTGCGAGTGCGAAAGCCTTCCCACGTCACGAATCTGCCGTGAGCGAACGGTCGGAGCAGCCAGTTGGTGAGGCCCCCATGAATAACCTGAACCAGGCGAACGTCACGAATGTCCATGCCTGACATGTCGCGTTGGTTGCTATGCGGAGTGTTGGCAACCGTCATGGGCAGGCTGAAGTTGTAGAGCTGATTGACATCTAACATGCCATCTCCAGGTGTCCAGTCAGGTGATGGTGTAAGCCAGGCTTTCTGAGGACGAACCGGTAGAGCAGCAGGAGGTCCAGGTGGCGGTATAGGTTGCGAGGTAGTGACCGGTGGTGACATCACGGACGGCATGAACTTCGTTGGCGTGGGCTCTGGAGGAATCGGCATCATGTAGTTGATCGATGGATGTTGGAACTGCTGCGTGGGACTAGGGATCGATTGAAAATTGGGGGGCATCATCGGGAAATTGTTGGCGGAGTTGTAGCCAGAATTGTGTTGCCAAGATACCAGGTTGTTCCAATCCATGGCCTCCGAGACGTGGTGGTCATTGCGTTCACGTCGGTGTGCTTTACGAGCTTGAGGAGAAGTACTCCGGTCGCGTCTGCGCCGAGTCCTGGATCTATCACGATCATCACGTCGAGACATGGTGACGCAACCGACTCTCAATCTTCACACTTCCACCTTGAGAGAAACGAATCCGACAACATGCAAATGCAAGTCATCGGCCCCCAGCTGCGATGGTTGAAGAAATGGATCCGACAAAAGGTAAGTCGATGCAAGTTGATGTCAGAGTCCATCATCAGCATTGGTGCAAGAAATGAATCTGACAAATGAAAGGCAATGCACGGTCAAGTCAGCAGCAATCAACCGCTGTGGTGAGAGCAACAACTCCAACAAATGGAAAGCGAATGCAATGCAACTAAGCAGCCGTCTGCAGCTATAGTGAATCCGACAATTACAAGACAATGCAAATTCAAGTCAGCAATCTTCAACCGCTATGATACGAGCAACAAGTTCAACCAATGGCAAGCCAATGCAATGCAAGTCGGCAGCCAGCAGCTGTGGTGAGACGTCACTATGGTCTGATCGCTGTCTTCCCTTTAGTGAAACCTCGTTCCTGGTTAAATGTGAAATTCCGCTGTTCTATGATAAGCACGTTGAGGTCAAATTTTCCGACAGAGCCGGCCCGGGGTCACACAATGGGTACACCCGAGGATTCCCCACGAATGGGGTGTACACACTTGAACTCCAAATGGAGAGTGCTAATCTTTCGAGTACAACTGATGAGTCTCGAGTACAACTGATGAGTCTCGAGTGGGTTCGGCTTGCAGTCACTTGGCTTCCGTCTAGCAGCGAACACGTTACCCGAAAGAACAAGAAGCACAAACAGCGCCGCAACCAAGGGGCCAAAAGGACTTTCAGAATCACTTGCAGGTACAGGAGTTTGCGTCCAAACTCCCTTCCGGCTCATTCTCACAGCTTCGTTGGCACGGCTAGAGAATGAGCTGCCGTGCCCCCTGCTTCCGAAAACGGCCCAAGGTGGTGACAGGGTATTCTGTCACTCCGCACACACACACACACACACACGAACCTCGGGATTTGCCCGAGATGTCGCGGTCTCGTTGTTGTTTGGACAGTCCCGCTTTGCTAAAAAGGCGGGAGGGTCATGATCAGTAGCCACAGGAGGATCAGAGAGCCTAGGCCCTGCCACTGCCAGAGGTACTGGGGCACGGGTACCCGCAGGATGCGGTCCACGTCCCCGTTCCTGCAATCCTCGCACAAGGATTTCAACTGCACGTACAAGAGCTGCGGCAGGCCCAGCACGTAGATGAGCGTGCGGCACCTAACGGAAGGGATGAGGCTGAGACCGTTTAGGCGACAAAACCGGAAAACCAAAGAGGTTGACATGAGTAAAAGCGAGCCGCGTGATGGGAAAACGCGAAAACAGCTGTACAGTTGCTCTCAAGTGAGGCACACAAACAAGGCATTGCGTATATTCTGCGATGGCTCCAAGACCGTGAGGACGGATTGGCTTGCCTCGGCTAGGTCAGAAGGCGCGGTCAAAGATGGGGCATGAGGTCACGCCTAGCAAGATTAAGTGACTTGGCACCGCTCAGAAGTAGTGTGGCAGCGTCTAAAAACAAGCCCTGGCTTCTAAAACCGAATGAGGCGGAGATACATGACATGGCAAGATATGACTTGATGATGATGCGGCCCTCGCAACTGTGCCTGCACCCCCGCCCAAAGCCAAGCAAGCTGGGCCATACTTTTCGGCCATCTCAAAAGCTCACTTGCATTGAGCTGCCAAGAAGAGACACAGCGAGAGGATGAAGAACAGCCTGCGCCGCAGAAACTGATACTTGACCCCGTCCCACAGGATGTCAGACATCGTGACTATGGTCTCGTGACCTCGGCTCTCAAGCAACTCCTGTCTGCTGTTTGCAGGCACTGGCTTCGTCGACTTGGCGGCTTGGTTGCCCATGCTTGGCACCCCCAAAATGGCGGCTTTCCTTGTGGTTCCCTTTTTAACCCAAATGAAAAAACTACCCACCTCAAACTTCCCGGAACTGACGAGCTGTTGCCGGGTGACTGATGAGCTTCGGGTCTCGGTAGTCAGCGAGCCATGATAGCGTCTCGCTGGGCTGACCCTCCAAGTCCTGCACCAGGTGCTTCACGTAGTAATTCACCCGCCTGTAGCCTGAATCAACGGAGCTGGATACAAGAAAATGCCAACGCTGCAGAGATGTGGCGTCCGTTTCGTGGGGTCCCATTGAAGAGTAGCGCATCACTTTGATCACTTTGAAGGGAACTCGGCAAGATGTGCGAAGTACAAGTTGGATTGACTTTGGCCCTTTGCAGTGCAAAAGGCTGCTGGGCGTTCAAATGGGTTAGACTTACTTTTGGCCAATAGACATGCAGGGCAACAAGAAGACTGAAAGGAAAAAGGAGACTTCTTCCCAAGCCCCAGCTCCCGCCCCAGCCCCCAGTCTGTGCTTGTTGCTCCTCGGCTCTTGTCCCTCCAAGCAGCCCTTGTTGATCCAGCGCGATCGCCACACCAGGCCATTAAACAGGGTGTCCAAAAGCAGAGGCACGTCCGTCATCAAGTATTTCACAACATCAGGATGGCGCGTGAACAAGTCCTCAAACCAGCAGTCAGAATCTTCCACTTGCGTGTCCCTTTACTTTCTCCACACGCAAAAGCAACAACATCTGAGAAGGAAAAAAAACCACCCGGCAACCGAGGATCATCACAGGCATAGTAGTAGACGTCCCGGTCGGCCCGGATTGTGAGCAAATCTTCCAGGATTGCCTTGGCGCTATTCAGATTGCCGCTCTGGATGGACCAGTAGAAGGGAGAGATGGACTGCGTGCCCACTGAGATGTTTAAGAGCTCCTGGACAGGCGTCAAGCCAAAGCAAGCTGGATGGCTTCGATTGCCACCTACGGGTTGCGGAGCTCACTAGGGTCCGACAAGAGCTCATCCTGTAAGCCTTCCAGGTTGGCCCCCTGCCTGAGTCACAGCCAAACCCCAAGACAAGAACAAAAACAAGGTTACTCGAAACCATTTAAATGGATTTGCACTTCCGGGTATGTTTCCCAACCTTCAAAAAACGGGTGGTTGGGTTGTGGATACTTAGAAGCGCAGCAGCAGCAGCAGCAGCAGCAGCAGCAGCAGCAGCAGCAGCAGCAGCAGCAGCAGCAGCAGCAGCACCACCACCACCACCACCACCACCACTACTCCCACCACCCCCTAAAAACGATGATACAACTGCAAACCAAAGCAAACACAAATGGCATACCCACAAGAGCTGCAAAATATGTGCATTCTCATGGCCCTGATTTTCACCGAACATCTCCAGTGTCCTGGGCCCGCTTCCCGCGCGCAGAGGTGGCCATGGCTTTCTTCATAGACACCTGTTTCTTTCTCAAGATGGATTTCGACCCTTTTGGTTGGCGGAGAACCCCTTCCTGGATGGTACATGCAGAAACCAATTGAAACAGCTGGTAAAGGTGGTTTTTCCTTTGGCCAAAATGTGTCCTCAAGGAACCCTATGGAATTCTGTTGGGATCGCCCCCCGCCTCGTCGTTAGTGCTGATGGCTTTCATCACCACCGTGGACCCCTCCGAGGTGGCCCGCACCAGGATTCTGAGTCGGAGCCGAAGGGCGCAAGCTGGAAGTTCCCACGATCTAGTTATGTACTAAAACTTTGAGGGTACCAAAGCAAATGAGTAAGGAACCTCACAGTTGTGGCCTTTTCAGGGCTAACCTCAAAGAAATCGGCACCATTCGAGGCAAGGGGCTTGCAGACCAGCGACATGGACCACTGGAAGGCAGTGATGGCCGTGTCATCGGTGGTGACCTGCAGGCATATTCAACCCCCTGCAGCCCTTTTTCAACCATGGTTTTTCAGCTTAGGCTGCTGTCACTCAATCGATTTCGTGCCAGCTTGTCCCCACTAAACCGGGGTTGATCCATCTGGTGCAGGATTTCGCAATTCAACACCCTCTTTTTGACCTGCTGGTGTCCCGTTTTGTTGGGCATATTTGCATATCCCCTTCTTGCACGATTTCCCTGAAATTTGATTCTGCCTGGCTAAAGATCTCCACCGCAGAGGTCACGAAGGGCGGGAAGAGCTCTGCGGGGATGGCGTAGCCTACAAGGAAGCGGAAGGCAAGGGCCAAATTTTGGGGATCCCTGAATGAAAAAACTGGCATTAATTTGGTGGATGAGCATGTGTCATCATTTTTTGGCTACTTCTATCAACCTTCTATTTGGATTTGTGGTTTGGAGGCTAGGGGGTGGCTTTTGGAACAGGGGGTTGCCTCCGTCAACCTCCTTCGGGTTCCTTTTGGCTTGGTGGAGGCTAGGGAGAGTAAACCTACCCTCAAGAGCAAAGGCTTTGAACCCCCAAACCACCAGTCCAAATCACCAACCAAGGGTTGCCTGATTCTGCACGACCTTTCGGAGAAAAACAGAGTGGGCCATTCGGTAGAACAAGAATTGGAACCACTCCTTAGGGCTGATGAAGCCCACCAAACGAGAAAGCTGCCGCTGGACCCCCGCCCCCCTCCCCCGCCCACCCGCCCAAACGGAGCAAAAGAAACAACAAGCCTGAATGCGCGGTCTCTTCAAAAGGTCAAAGGTACTTCCCAGGTTCGATGCTTTTTTTGGCTCTGGGGAACAGATCCTGTTGCTGGTTGCTGCCCAATGTGAAAGCAAAACATCGAAAGGCCCAAGAGCAAACCAACAGCAGCGGAGTAGCCCACGTGTCGCAAACCCAGGCCGCTGATGTCCTGCGCAAGCCAGGAACATCAAGGGACTGGAAATACAAAGAGGCGATTGGCTATGAATTGGGGATCGCCTCCAAACTGATTGGCGGACATAAATCAAACCGTTGAAGGAGATGAAGTGTTGAGAGCGTCTTACACGTACAAGGTGAGGTTTGAATCCATGTGTTCGTTTTATTTGGGTAGTGATTTTCCATACCCAAACCTATCGCTGCAGGGCAGGTTTACAGCCGCTGGCTTAGGCTTGATTTCGAGCGGGTTTAGATGTAGCTCCGCAGGTAGGCATGGGTACGTTGGGCCTTGGTTTGGTGCTTAGGGCTTAGGGTGGGGTGGTGTTGGGATGGATAAGGGGCAGGTTTAGGGACAGTTTAGGGTTGGTGTCCAGCTCGGTGTCAACCTGGTGGAAGGGCCAGGGAATCAAGAAGCCGGAAATGGCAAAGCCGAGAGAGCAAAAAAGTCAAACAAGCCAAGAAGCTACCAAAAGCCGGAAGATCCTAAACAAATCGAGAAAAATCCTTCAAGCAAGAGCTTCCAGTAAACATTCACCCCCCCCCCCCAAGACTTCGGGCAACCTTAGTGGCACATTGCCCGCACACGCTTGAGATCACAAGGTTTAAGCAGAAGGAGAAAAGCTTGTTGCGCAGGTGTTCTGCTCGGAGTGCCAATGAAGTGCTGAAGGAACCAGGCGTGAATCACGGTCCTCCACCATGGCCCGCGGCTGCGTGTAGATATCCGTCGTCATCTCTATGATTTTGTCCTACAGGTGCGGGCTGACCCGAGACCCCAACGCTCGGATTAGCGACGTTTGACTTGAAATTCTCAAGTTTCGACCGGGGTGCCGCAATGTAGTAGAGCCGGGTCAGCGACTGCTTGAAGAAGTCTTGCCCAGTTGGCGCAACCTTGAAGAAGTTCAGGAAAAACTCTTGGCGGAGAAATGCCACTTGATCATCCGGAAGCCCGGACAGCACTCCAGTCAAAGCTTTCTCGTACACCTGGGGAGTTCGCATGGAGATGGGGAAGGCACCAAGTGCCAACCATTTGTGTAAAGCCTTACTTTGGGCGACGAAGGTTGTGGCAAGAGGCAACAAAATCGTGGACAAAACAAGGCCTCCTGCAAGCGTTTTCTCCTGTTGGCTAAATCTCAGTTGAAGTGCAACTTGCACAAGAGCCAAATGGATTCACCCGACATAGCTCCAAAGCTCCAGCCATTTCGCGCCTGCGGCTTGCCCAGCACGGATTTCAGCAGCCGCTCCACATTCCTCGGCGAGCAGCGGATTTCGGATGTCGGGAAGTTCCAAGGCAGCGCCTGCCTGAAAGCAGGGCGTGCCACTTTTTACCATGGGATGGCTGAAAGAGAAACTAAAGGAAAACCGAAATCCATTTTGGGGCCGCCCCCATTTAGAGACACTGCCAAGATGGGAACCAATTCAGCCAGGAGGCTGCCACAGCCAATTCCAAGCCACCTGAGGCAATCGATTGCCAAGGCTCGGTTTGTGAGGGGCCTTCATTGTCATGTTCAAATGGGCCACGGCCAAAATTTACTGCTGCCCTACTGGACATAGAAATTCAGAAAGGAAATGGCATTCCGACTACTGGACAGGGCAAACATAGTGAGTCCCTTCGTGTTGATGGTTAGAACCGGGTGCTTCCCCCATATCCCTCCCAATGGATAATAAACTATTGGAGTTCTTGACCAAAACTCAAGTGCCAACTCGGACGACATGACTAATTACCGCCTGATCATTTGATGATGCCAAACCTTCGACCCCTTCCAGGATTGCATTGCAAGCCCCCTCACCACCCCACCCCATCTTACACATGCCGTAGTTGTTAGGGTTTGATCCATCGTTTGCCAACTTGAAGCAGCCCGAAGAGCAGATACATCTGACAGCTAACCGCGTTTAGTTGCGCAGTATTTCTGTTGACATGGGCCATCCAAGAAATGCATGCCTGTTGGACAAACATAGTCGGATGTCTCCCTTCTAGACCAAGCAAGATGCACTTTGCGGTTGTAAAGTTGAAATGCGCGACTGTTGCGGCCCTCCGCCACACATGCCCCTCCCGCCCCCCCGCGCAATATTACCCGTGGCAGCGGCACAAGCTAAAGCGCCGCCCAAGTCGCCCTCGAGATTTGCGTGGCCCCGAGCTCAAATTTGAGCCCTTGGTTTCCTTTCAGTGGCCCCTCGAAGGCCCCCGATTCCCTTGCCGGCTATCTCTCTGAGCCAAAGGCTTCGTGCTCCGAGGTCCACTCCGTGGGCACCAGCGACCGCAAAGACGCCAGCACCACCGCCTTGAACTCAGAGAGCACGAAGCTGCCTCGGCGGAGCGAGACCAAAAAGGGCGCTTCGATCCCCAACCCAAAGTGTTGGCTTCCTTTTGGCTTCCCTCGCCCAGCAAAGTCGATGCCGAGAACCGCGTCCTTTCTCCAGGAGTTTCAGGAGGAGTGGCCTAGCCCTATGGAGCATGGGGCAGTTGCGTTAAGGCCGGAGCCGTGGTATCTGGACAAAACCAGTGCCAGCACCTCGCACTCCTGGCGATAGCGCTCCGAGTCTGCCCTTCGACCCTCGTGCATACCCCGCCGCGCCGCCCCTCCCGCCTCCTGCAAACGATATGGATTCGCCACGTTGTTCGCAATGGCATCCAGCTGGTCCAGAATGAGATTCATCCACTCGTTGTTGCTAAGGCCCATGACTGCAGCGTTGAAAAGGAACATGTCGTTGAATGAATTCGGCACCATCATGCCGTCCGTATTCTTGGTCATGTCTAAGTCCAAGTCCAGCTCACCTTCCGAGTCCTCCTCTGTCTGTTCTCTTGAGATGCTGCTGCGCTTTTCCTGCCCCTTCTTCGTGCCTGTCAGGGCTTCCTGCACGTCTGTGATCCCAGCGGCCTTTTTGTTGGCCAACTGCCAGCCTCACTCCAGCGAGGTGTTCCAAACTTTAAGCAAAGCCCCTGCCGAAAGAAAACTATGTTCAAGCCGGCTCAAAAGGTGATGTTTTTCAGGGGAAACGTTGGTACCTGTGACCCTGCCATCTGCTTCGCCAAGTAGCTGTTCTGAATGATCCGTATGCGGCTTGCATACCTCAAGCAAGCAAAAGTATGTTTTCCAAGTTACTGGGAATCGAGACAAACATTGCTCTAGTGAGATGGGAAGTCAAGGGTGAGAAGTGCGGGGGGCCTGTCTGCGCACCAAAGCCGGTTCCCACCGACCAGCCCCTAAGCAAAGACCGCAAGGCCCAGTGTCCTGCATTTGGTTCAGAACGACCGGGGGGATGGGAAGGAGGGCAAATTGTGGGGCAGTTGAAGCCCCCGTAACGCAGGCTTGAAGCGGGGGCCGCCCACGGCTGAAGGGTGGCTAGTGCGGTGGTTTTCGGCCGGGCACTCACGCCGGATGAAAATCAGAGCGCCGCTGGCATAGTTCAGCAGAATTTGAAGGCCAAAGCGGGCCTTGGTGGTGAACTTGGGGCCAAGCTCCTGGCGAACAGTAAGCGCCCGGAAAGGAAAAACAAATACTTTTGGCTCTAAGATGGCTATATATGTTTATTAAAGGTTTACATAGGCATCACCCAAATTCTGAAGCCAAACAATTAGTTCCCCGTCTAACATGGCCAATGGGGTATTGGGCGCAGCTCAACTGAAACAATTGATGACCTGCCTGCAAGATTATTCGTTGTTTTGCTGGCTGGCTGGTTAGTGCTTCCGACGAGGCAGGGTTTTCTGTTGCACACATCGCATAGGAAGGTCTGCGAACAAAGGGTTGCGTATCATGCGAGGCTGGAGTTTGACACATGCCTGCCTTGGGGCCTGCGTGGACTTGTTCAAAAGAGCTTCCCCCAAAGTGATATGCGTCCCAAGCTTTCTGCTCGTCCAGCACATCTGTACAAACGCTGGACCCCAAAACCTGAAAGGGATCCGCGGGAAAAAGACCTACATCATGAGCTCGTTTCCCTGGCTGAGCTCAGCATGAAAGCAGATGCATTGTCCTTCCTGCGCTTTCACCAAACACGAAGGCCTGCCTGGTCAAAGAGCTCCAGGATCGCATCGCGGAACACGTCCGCGCGCGCGACGGTCACATCCTGAACAAACCAAAGATCCGACGCAACTCGGACAGAAAGGAGGTGCCTCCACAAGGTGCGCCTTTTCGGTGCCCCGGTGTGCTCACAGGGCTAAGGCTGCAGATCCCTGCCGAGACGCAACATCCAAGTGCTGGAAGCCGATGGTCTCCACCTAAACCCGGCAAAAGGGCCGCCGAAAAGGCAAATAAAGAAGAACCCCTATCGGCGGGAAAGCAAGTAAAAAAATCAACAGATCGCAAGGGGGAGTGGCCAACTCCAGCTTCGTATCTTGCAAATTGCAAGGCTTGCACAGCACTGTTGGCCTTAAACGTCAACTCCAAAACGAAACGGCGAAACGAGCCATGGGGCTGTCTCTGAATCCCTGGCCCCTACAGGGTGTCCCCCTTTTCCCCTTGAAACATCACCCTGTCAAAAGGAAACTATTTTTTTCATCTGGCCCAAAGGGTGATGTCCACCAACGCAGGAAACATCGAAACCCTCCCCCGCCCCCGCAGGCCACCGCTTCCGACGCCTGCGTCTTGAGCATCCCGGGCTTTGGGCCCACCGTCGCCAGGGACAGCAACGCCGCCACGAACTTCTGCGACATGATGGAGCGGGGCCCTTTGAACCTCGGAGCCGAGCGTGCACCGTCTTAGGGGCAGCCACTGTTCTTACCTTGCTTGGGTTATGTACCCCGTTGGTTTGGAGGTAAGATGTAAACTACCTCCCAACCACAAGACTCTTAAGATCAAGCCCCGCTTCCAGTTCCCAACAAGGCGTTGGAAGTTTCTACGCGTCTCAAGCTGCACCCTCCCTCCCCCTCCCGCCCTCCCACAGGCTCGAGGCGCAAGCCCTGCAGGGAGGGAGCCGCTTCAAAGATCGCGCTGAAGATGACGTCCCCAGCCGCCTCCCGGGAGGTCTGCGTGGCCAGGAAGTCCTGCCTGCGACGCAGTGACATGGGGGGTTGTGAGGGGGGGAAGAGGCAGGGGGTCTCTCCAACACCACACCTGGCGAAAGTCATCTTTTCAGTGGCCCAAATGCATCCTCGGTAGTTCCCTTCCATGGAGCTTTAGGTGTGCCTTATGTTCAATTATTCATGGGAGGTTCAACTAAACAGCAGTGGGAGTTTGTTGATATACTAGTTACATGGATTGGTCTTTAAGGCGCCTGTTCGGGGACAACCGATGATGGGAGCCCCGGCGTGCTGGTTGCACGCCTACCCCACTCTTGCGTTTGCTTGCCAGGCTGCAGTGCTTGCAAGCTCTCTTGTTGCACGTCCGTCGGAATCTGGATCTTTTCGAAGGTCTGTTCGTAAACCTGCCTTGGCGAGATTGGAAGCCAAACCCTGCCCCAACACAACATCAGATTCGGGGGAATTCACTTGAGCGTGACCGGAAACATTTTGGCTGAACTTGTGCCACACATATCACGTTAAGGTGAATGATTAGAAACCAAGCTGAAACCCAGGCTATCTAGTTTCAAGCAAACTCACCGAAATAGGGCACCTACAACCTGCCGGGCTGCAAATATTTGTCCAGATCGCCGATCACCGGCATAGCGTTTTCATCATCCACCGCCTCCGACTGGGTGTCTACATCTCGACCCGCGCCATCCTCCTCCTCATGTTGCACCGACTTTGAAGGGAATTCGAGCGCAACGAAAATGGAAGCAAGGAGCAGCGAGAAGGCGGAGACACGAAGATTGAACGTGAGCAAAGCAAAACAGCGGGAAGGGAACGGGAAACCACAGTGAAGTGTACAGAAAAGGGCTGGAAAACATGTGAGTCAGAAAAGCGGAGATGCACTGCTTTTGCTTGCCAGATCGTGCTAGCTACGCAAGTCTCAAACACATCCTGGATCTTGACTCTTCTTCCCCGTCCACCTTGAATAGCCCAAGCTTTGGCGCCCTGATTTCCCCGCCTCCTGTATCTCAGATTCCTCCGCGGTGTCAATGAGATCATCCGTCTCTTCATCATCCATGATGGGCTTGCCCTCCCTTTGTCAGGCAAGCTTTGGGCCAAAAACCAAGGCGGAACGAGCATGGTGTCCACTCTCGCGCCGGTCGCGCCAAGCATGACAATCGAGTCGAACCGCGACCCAGCGAATCCGCATGGGTCAAAAAGAATCAAGGAACAACCCGAGAGGAACTTCCCAATGTCCCTCCCCAGCATCCGCGGGGCTGAGAAGTTGCGTCACAAAGTTTTGGACTCCCAGGCCAGAACCCTGAATCACAGGGGGCGTCGAATTTTGTGACACATCTTCGACAACAGACACGCACCGGCAAACTCTCTGGGGCTGCTTGCTTGAAGCTGCGGAGGCGGTGACGCCACGCCGCACCTTGGAGTTTCTCACTGGCAGCTGAGGCCCCTGGAAAGCCAAAGGCTTCCAGGTGACCTTGTCAGCCTCTCGAGTTGGATTCGTGTCAAACCATGTCCGGTTCCCGGTAAATAGTGCTGGAAGCCTGCGTGACAAATTGGCTGCTTCCAAGGCCAGGACATTTCCATCCTCTTGACGGTGAGCAGGCCCCGTCCCCGCTGTTCCTCGGAATCTGACACAAAATCAGCAGACGTAGGCTGAAACCAGTTGGTATGGACCTCTCCCGAGGGACTTTTTTCAGGCCAGACTTCAACAATTGATCATGGCCATGCTTCAACAGGGCAGTACCAGAAAAGGGGAACACGCCTGGGGTTCTTGCGGCATTTTATGCAACTATGTAAGGGGGCGCAGGCCGAAGCTGATCCAGCGATGAACAAGACGGCACAAGTTGCGTTCCGCGCTGCTCAGCCAACATCTGAAGATTTTCAGAACGAAATGCCATTCTGATGGATTGCCCGAAGCCTCGAAGCAACCAAGTCTCACCACACAGATTGGCTTGTGCATCCTGGTGAGGTGTGTTTCGGCCAACTTAGGCATACATGCTGCACTTTAAGAACTGCCTACGTCCAGGGTTTTTGGAAGAGGGAGGCAAGTCTCAAAAATAGGGCTGCACCCTTTTGGGCTCCTTCTGTCATATGGAAGTACCACTTACTGAGACGCTCATATGCTGCATTGCGGTTCCAATTCCATGACACCACAAAAGTATTACTGAGGGAAGCAAAGCTAGTTGAAAGAGCCACCTATCCAGCCCGCTGATGCTCAACATCATCCGACTCGCGCATTCTGCATCACCTAGCCATACGTACTATGTCTTGCGATTCACCTAGTGCAAGCGCAACATACTGGCTCATAGGCGAAAGACAGCAGGGTCTTTAGAGAAGCTTTGGAAGGCTGGACGGCTAGACATGTTTGCCGCTTGTTGCATGGCAAACTGGAGTCCTTAGTGTATGTGGCTGAAACGTAGAGTCCCGCTTTTTCCTACCAATGCACCACAGGCAGATATGTATTCTTTTTGACTGAGCCAAACACCGAAATCGGTACCCCAAACTCAAAGGAGAGGGAAACACAGTTTTGTCAACAACGGGGGAACCCGGGACCTTAAAAGGAACGAACCCCTCCGTGACTGCGACCTCTCCCTTAACCTTGGGGTTAGCGCGAGCAACGCGCTGTTTTCAGCACTTGAGCCAAAGCAGTGATTAGATCATGCTCAGGCTTTGAACATTGACTTGAATGTACAACATGCAACTGACTACATGAGAACCTACCTCATGTACCTCTGGGCCATAAATGTCATCGTGATAATTGACTCCCCCCTCATTGACGGCACTGAGGGAGTGTCTTGGGCGCATTACCACGCCAACTTGAAGTCAAGTTTACATCACAACAACTGACGCAAGTTATTCAAGCATCGCCCAGGCACTTTGCACACTTTTGGGAAATTTTGCGGACATGCTGCAGCGCACTAGGCAGCTGCTTTAGCGGATCTACTTTCACGAACGTCTTCAAGCTTCTCTGGAAGGTCAACACGAATGCCGAGCAACCGGATGGCATGGTCCCACTTGTTGGGTGGAAGTGCTTTCGTGAAGATGTCTGCTGACTGCATGTCGGTTTGGACGTATTCTATCGAGATGTGTTCGCTTTCAAGCTGCTCTGCGATGCACGCGAGGTTCACCTTGTGCGTTCGCTGGACACAGCGTAGCTTGGATGAGAAACCTTTTCTCGCTACGAGGATAGTCGCCTGATTGTCCTCGTGGATCTTGAGATGGAATGGTCGGTCCAAGATCAGCTCCCACAAGCTGAGCGCAGGAAGCGCCTCCTGGTAAAGGGAGTATGCGAGAGATACGATCTCCGCCTCGGTTGTCGATCGGGAGACCGAGGTCTGCCTTTTGGACACCCACGCAAGTGGAAAATGCGTGTGCGGACCACTCAAAATCAAGAATCCTCCGGACGTGGATTTTGCGTCTCGTTCTCCAGCGAAATCGGCGTCCACATAGAGAGACAGATGCAAATCCTCAGTCGAATCTTGAACTGTGCCTACTAGCGTGCTGTTGACCGTGCTGTTTATGTAGCATACAAGCCTATGTAGCTGCTTATCGCAGTTTCTAGACCATTTCTGAACAAATGAGGCAAGGTCGCCAATGGGCTTGACCAGGTCTGGGCGTGCCAAACGGCCGAGCCATAAGGCTTTCATCAACACGCGGCAAGCGGCGAAGCCGAGCTCACCCTCCAAGGCGTCATCTGCAGGATCAAGGGATCCAGCGGGACAGAATGGAGTGGTGGCATCACGCAACTTTTCACTTTTTAGCTGTGCAACCTCAAGATATAATGCCACCGTTTGACGGGCATAATCCCGCATGTCGAACGCCATGCCCCCTTTCAATCTGCCCATTGCGGCATTAAGATCGGGTTCAGTTGGGTCCTTTGGAGCATCTATCAAAAGGTGATTCCTGCCTAGCACCCGATATATGTCTTCTGGGGGTTCTATATCAACCAGTCTTGTTAACTTTTCCCAGAAGTCTTTATGAAGGTGGCTGGGGCCGGCCAACGTCAAGTCGTCGACGTATGTCGAGAGAAGTAACCCGGACTCCTTGAACCAGAAGTTTCCAGGAAACTCTGCGACCTCACGCCCTCCAAGTTCACTAATGAAACCTTTGAGGTGTGCCTCCCAGAGTCCGCCAGCGTCAGGATGCCCATAAAGAGCTTTAACGAGCAAAACCACAGGTTTCACGAAACGCTCGCGCCACCACCTTGGCCGGAGCTCAGGCGGGAGTGTGATCCAAGTTTGGTACTTGGACTTCAGCAGGGCTTGCACATAAGCCTTTATAGCGTCCGCTGTTGTGGTGGAATTCCCTGGCAGGGATCCATAAGCGAGACAGTTATTAAGACCTTGTACGCTCGTGGGATTTGCTCCCAACTCTTGGTAGACAGCTGCTGCGCCATGTTCGTCTTTCGCACAGTCTCCGCGATACACAATCCTACCTTTCATCTTCTGAAGGTGTTTCGCGAGTTCGGCGAACTTGACGGATGCTAGCGACATCAACTGCCCGAAATGAACTTTTATACTGGATCGTCGCGCCTCAGCGGCGACTTGATCATATTCTCGGACTGAATTTAGATCCCAAGCACCGGCTTTCTCCAGGCCTGTGGCTTCAAGTCGAACGGCTTCAAGGGCTTCCGGGGAAGCCAACATTTCGGCACGTGACAAGAGTCTGGTCACCATTGCGGTGATCTCAGGATCCTTCTTCTCCTTGACTTGTCCTAGGGAATGTGCGATGAGATTTTCAACATCAAGAACTTGTTCAAGGATGTCGTGACACTTTTCATCGGACTCAACAGCAAGACCTATATCTTCCAAACCAGAGAGAGGGGATATGTGTTTCAACTGTTGCTCACGTTCCCGGTGATCGAGAGGCAATGGCACTTGGACAGGCATCGCAGGCACAACGGGTTGAACTGTCGGATACAGCGCACGGGCAACTGTGAGACACATGCCTTCGGGGTAGAAAGCGGTCTTTGCGGTCTTGTTACCTGCTGCAAGCGAGTGTTTGTACCCTTTTTCGTGCGGACACTTGAATGCACTTAGCGCGGATGCGAGGGTGCTATTGCTGGTCATGACTTTCCATGGCTTCTTGATGGGATAGCCATTGCTGTCCTTCAGACCTAGGGCGCAACCGTGGAATGTCGCTGGGGTGAAGACGTGTGCGTATTCCCTAAAGAACGCAGAAACATCATCCCTAGCCCAGCTGTCGCAATCCCTTGGCCACTCAAACGACACACTACCCCCCTGATGGAGGACAGTCTCTGCGTGACGTCTGAATCTGGAGAACAACTCTCTCGACTCTCTAACCTTTTGCTTCAGTTTCTTTTTGAACTGGCTTCCTAACTTGGCCTTATTAAGGCGTTGCCATGCTGAACCTGATGCACAGGGAATTGCAGCCCAGAGATTGGGTTTATCACAACCTTCAATCTGCGACTGCAACTGGATTTCTCCTTCATCTGTGCTAAGGTCGATAAACTCTTTAGCCAGCCTAACATGAGGTATGCCTAGACCTTCAAACACGCGACCCATATTGGACTCTGGTGAACATGCGTATTCGAACATCACAGGCAACTTGTCAAGACGTGCCTGTCTCTTGCGGGCACGATGATTTCCTACCTCAAACTGCTTGCGCTGTGGAGCTTCAACCTCTGCGCTGCACGGCATGCCAAAAATTGGCAATGTGTTCGGACGACCGTTCTTTGATGCATCGGTGAGAGGTGTCGGCGGTACGGAGTCTAACATCACGGCTGCACCTGTGGTGATAACACAATCGGACTGAATGGGTTTTAACTTAAACACTGTGAACCCGGTCCATGCATCTCCAAGTGAGCGATTAGGTCGGCTACCAAACCAACCATCGTGGATGTTGTCTGCTTTGCCCCCCTGAAACACGGCACGAGTGGTGCGAGCTGCAGTAAATCTCTCTGGGGAAACGGGGCAATCCTCGACCTCTTTTGGGGTAAAAAGATTTTGCCTTGGCATGATGTGGCATCGAACCAAACAGTTGGCATTTTCTTTGAACACCCAAAAGTCTTCACCTTGCGATGTAGCGGCTGTCGCTGGCGCGGTATCGAAAAATGAGGCACCGGGTCTTGAG